TAGTCCTTTAAAGGATAAACATAGGGCCCTAATTCCCTCATTCCCTGCTAACCAGTAAGTAAGCTGCCAGGAGAGCCTTGCCAAGCAGTGCTACGATGGCGGTCTGTCCTACGAGGAGCGCGCGGCCAAGCGCCAGGACCGCCGCCGCTTGAGACCTCCTGGTGGGGGGGGGGGGGACGTCATCTCCTGCGCAAGACCTCGGAAGCCTCGACCTGCTGCCTTACCCTAAACCCTAAACCCTAAACCCTAAACCCTAAACCCTAAACCCTAAACCCTAAACCCTAAACCCTAAACCCTAAACCCTAAACCCTAAACCTTCAGGAAGAGATCGACGGCCTGAAGGAGGCCCTGGTGTCGCTGGGCGGCACGGCCACTTGGACCGAAGCTTGCGCTTGGGCGACGGGTCGCGGCTTGGGGGGTCGTGATGGGCTTGACACGAGCACACCCAGGATCTGACGGCCGTGTTGCTGCAGAACAAGGCAAGGATGCGGGCGTTCTCGGGCGTTCATAGGGTAACCCTCAGAGCCCAACAAAAATCAGTTCCAGGCCCGGGCACGAGCTGAATAGCGCTCGTACGCGCCGGAGTTGGCACCCACGATGATGGGGGAGGGCATAGGGGGCAGGGAGTTTTTAGTGTGTAAGCTAAGGAAACCACAGAAAAACAGACCCCGAGCCTTGCACCCAACAGAACGCCCATGTCTCCTAGGATGCCCAGTAGTACCCTTATTCCCTTTTTGGGGGGTTTAGGTTCCCTTATAAACCCCTTTAAGCAAAAAAGGGCACCCTTTTTAAGCCTTGGTTACTGGGCAGCCTAGTCTCAGCTTTCCTCGCAGGGCCTGCGCGGCTCGGTGAAGCACTGAGAGCCACCTCTCAGCCCTCGGAGCTGACCGGTGGAAGCCAAAAAAAAAAAAGAGAAAGCCGGCGGCTCGCGGAGACTTCAGAGCTCCGGCGCTGCCCTGTTGCACGGAGGTTTATATAGGGTTTAGGGTTTAGGGTTTTGGGTTTAGGGTTTAGGGTTCGCCGCAACCTGTACTTAACCCGGAAGTTTCGGGTTGTGGTAGTCTAGTCGATGTAACAGCTTAACAGGCACTGAAGACTTGTGATTTCGCAGGCTGCATCTCCAGACTGGCTCAGGAGGGCTCATGGAAACGGCCGCCAGACAGTTCGTAGTCATTGAAAGAACGCCCCCGGCTGTGCGGCATCGTGCGCTTATGAGCACCAGCAGGCAGCAAGTATTTGTGACAAACGTAGCCCCTGTCGTGTGGCTTAGACCCATGTCCCGCCGGAGGCTTCGTGCTTTCAAGGCCGGTCACACTCACGCCGGTCACCGTGCCTTTGTCCATGCTTTAGTGACCCGAACTCCCCCTTCCTGAAGGACCCTAGTGGTTGCACATGGTACTCTCGCTCGCATGCTCCCTCGGGCCAAGTCGTGGAGAGCTGTCGTCGGCGGTTTATGGGTTTAGGGTTGAGGGTTTAGGGCAAGGGTTCCGGGGTTTATTCTTTGAGTTTTTTGTGGGAGGGGAGGGGTTAGGTTTTAGGGCTTAGGAGGTTCGGCTTTGGGCCTAAGTTTAGGACACTGACGTTTGTCGGCCCCGATAAGGTAAGCGGGGCAGCTGCCTGCGCGTGATTCTAACATAACAGCAGCTCTTTTGGGCTGGGTTTTTGTGTCTCTGTAACTGCCAAAGCCATGTAAGCCATGTATGTTCACAGGTATCTGCAGCTGTAAGACGCCAAGTTCGGAACCAGCGCAATGAGGTTCTAAAGGTACGACTGGGTCCCCCGTTCGTACGGAAAGCACGGTGCCCTCAATGGAAGGTAATGACGCAGGGATTTCAGCATTTTCCCTACCCCGCATTTCCTTACCCCGAAGCTCGAGACCCTAAACCCTCAACGCATCTCAAACCCGCAGCCCGAAATGCTGGACTGCAGGCTTCGGCTTAGGCCACTGGCGTTTCGCATCGCCGATGAGGCATTCGGGGCTCTGGGGCTCTGGCTATTCATGCGCTGTCGCTGTATGGCAGTGCCTTGGTTGGGAATGTCACATGCACGGAGAGTAAGCGACTATTCTGGCATGTGTTGCGTTCTCTTCTGCCTCGTTCCAGCTCTCGCAGCCCATCCTGATACCTGCTGTGTGTTCTGTTCCCCTTATTCAGAGAGCCCTAAACCCTGAACCCTAAACCCTAAACCCTAAACCCTAAACCCTAAAATTCCCGCAATGCGCTTCTCGCGTTCCGACCCCCGTGCATGGCTCCAGGGATCTTGGGTGGTTCTCACAGTTTTTCATGTTGCGGCTGTGCCAAAATTTAAGATGCTCCTGGCCATGGTGCTTCTTCGGGGACTGCTGGTGCTAGTGCTTATCGGGGAAACTGACGCAAGCCCTGCCACAAGCATGACGGTCAATGCTTCAAAGCTTGTGGACATCTCCGCTTGCGACAGCCCGCGTGGCCCGCGACACGGCAGAAGACCTGGATTGGAACTCCTGCAAACACATGTCGGCAGATTGAAGGGAAGCGGGTCAGGAGTTTTCGGCATGTCGTCTGCACCGACGATGCAGTCACCCCAGATCGAAAAAGTCCTTCACGTTGGGGGAGGTATCCTCCTGTTGTGTTTCCTGCTGGTGCTCAAGGTCGCTAGCACCGACATCCTGGTGGGCATGGCAATCTTCCTTGACACCTTTATGACCTTCGGCCTCTTGACTTTCGCGCCGACAGTAACGCCGAACTACCAGCTCATCGCGGTGCTGCAAAGTTCCAAGAATGTCGTGGCTTGCCTGCTGGTGCCCGTCGTTGGCAACATCGATGGAAATGAGGCAAAATCCGTGGGGATGGGGCTGCTGTGCGCCATGCTATGCAGTCTGGGCTTTGCACTGGAGAAGAACTACGCCTTGTGGCTGGCAATGCGCACTCTCAGTGGATGCTCAACAACAGCAGTTTTTTGGGGAGGCTTTGCGCTTCTCAACCGAGTGTATGCCAACGACGCGACCGCTCGCGTCAAGGCAGTGTCAACGGCCATGGCGGGCCTCTACATGGGAACTTTCTCCGGTCCCCAAGTTGCTGGAATATTTGTTGGCCACTCGCGTTCGATGTTTCTCCTCCTCTCTGGTGTGCAGCTGAGTGTGTTCTTGGCGCTTCGCTTCCGGTTGACGGACCTGTCGCAGCTCCGAGAGCCAATGCCGAAAAAACAGACTGGGCCAGGCTGGGATGCTGGAGTTGATGCGGGACCCAGAAATCCGAAGGCCAATCGTTGCCCTTTTTCTAGGCTTGGGCTTGGAGGCTGCAGTGTCTGCCACAGCTTGGGAGTATATGACAAGCCGGGGATATGACCATGTGAAGCAGAACCTGACATGGCTGATGGCTACAATTCCGGGCATCATCTCCGCCAACCTTGTTCCCGTGCTTCGATCTGTGCTAGGAGGTCAGACATTGCAGATATCAACGCTTCTCCTGGGTGGGGGAAGTACGCTTGCGTGCCTGGGCACCGACTACATCTTCCTCGCCATTGTGCTGATTGGCACCAGTTGCACGGCTAGCTTGTCAAATGTAAATGCAGCAGCTATGTTGGCCGATCGAAGCCAGGAGAGGTACGACGGCACGGGTCAGGTGTTCGTTCTGTCTACCACAGCTGATCAGGTCGCCTTCATCGTGGGACCCTGTGTAGGCAGTTCTTTATGCCGGTACGCAAGCTTCCAAGTGATGTGCCATGTTGTTTGCGCTTGCTTGGTCCTCTATGCCAGCCTGCTGTGGTGGCCTGACGAGGGTTCAAAGCCCAAACAGGCAACCGCGACGTCTGGGACTGACCCGCACTCGCCAGTCGAAGCTAGCTAGTTCGTAGTGATCTGGTGAACGCGCCATCGGGGCACCGCAATGTGATGTCATTGAGCTTTGTGGCGGAGCCGGCGCCAATGCACGCTCGGATCCAGTTGGGCCACAGTGGTCACGGTGGCAAAGCTGTGCCGCGATTTCGTTGTTTCATTGTTTTGGCACGTGTCAATATCGTCCTCCAGCCGGCATTTGATTCCCCTACGGGATGTCCCTGGGCTTCCTACAGCAGGCCATTAGGCCTCAGGGCTTTTCGGTTTGGGGATCCTGCGAGAACACGCAGGCTCGTATATAGTCAAAGCTCAAAAATTGAGCACGTCACACGAGCTAAGGAACAATGAGCTGAATGGGGTCTGGGCGGGAGGGTGGGAGGGGAAGAGACAGTGGCGAGTGGGGTAGGGAGTGGGAAGTGTGGGCACCCCAGGCCTCCGCGGATTGGCGTGGCTCCCGAATCTCGTCAGTGGCGCTTAGCAGGAGTATTACCCCCAACCCTTAGACCCCTGGGCTTTGTCCCTTGAGCTGATCACCTGTCGAGTGGACATGAAACCTTCTGAGCCCCATACTGTGCATAAACAAACTATTGCAGGCATGACCGACTCTCCCTAGCTGGATCGGTGCCTTGCCTGCAGCTACAGAATAGATCTTTTTGTGGAGTAGGTGTGTATCCCCTGCACGGCAACATCGAACATGTAAGCTGAAAGCTGAGAGAGTAGAATTCAGCTGATGCAGTACAATGGCCCACCCACTAAGCTCTGGACCCTACTACTCTGTGGCGAAGGCAGGGCTTGATGAACCGGGCTGTTTTGGGAGGTTAACTTAAGTCACGGGCCCTGTTTGGCACTCTAAACTAGGAAGCGAGCTTCTTCTTTGGGTCGAGACATGCAACTTGGGTCCATAATGTAGAAGAAGGTTTATATGTGCAGCAGGAAAAACAATCACGGAGTTTGTTTGCAGGGGCTCCGAGCCTTCGTGAGCCGGGAAGTCTTCCACCTTCCCAGGCCCAAAGACTCGCCTAAACTTCGAAACCCTAAGACCCTGCACGCTCTAAACCATCCTTGACCAACGACCAGGCTTGGCGAATCACCATGTTGATCCGCGCCCGCGCCACCAACGCTCAGCCCGAAACCGAAAGGGAAAAGGCCGCTGCGAGCTGACCGCGGAAGCCAACAAAAAAGAGCGGGTCGGAGACTTCAGGGTGCTGGCGCTCCAAGAACATCCCCCTCAGTGACAGCTACACTCTAGCCCATACCTTATAGCCATCCCGAGTCCCGAAACCGCCCCAAGCCGTCAACGCATGTAAGCCCATGTAAGCCCTGAAAACCATGGGAAGCCTGTCTCAGGCTGCAGCACTGCATCTGTCTTCAGACTGGCTCAGGAAGGCCCACAAACATTGGCCGCCAGACATGAAACAAGTGGCAGCCATTGCAAGAACCCCCCCCCCCCCCCCCCCCCCCACAGAGACGTTGCATCACGGTATTGTGCGCTTAAAGGCAACTAAGAGCATGCCGTGTACCCACTCCAGCGACATCCGTAGATCACGGCAGCAGTACGCAGGCACAAGCAGGCAGCAGGTACTTGTGACAGACGTAGCCCCGTCGTGCGGCTTAGACCCATGTCGCACCGGAGGCTTCATGCTTTCAAGGCCGGTCATGCTCACCTTTAATTTTAAACGCTTGCACGCGCCGCCTCGGCAGCCGGGCCGGCCCAGAGCATGCAGTACGTGGAGATGAAATTCCGCACGGAAGGAAGGGTTGGGTAAGGGGGCAGGAGACCGCTGCTTGTCATTTCGAGGTTCTCCCTCTGTGTAGGAGCTGCAGCGGTTCTTACGGGGGGTCCCAGGGGGTTTCAGGGGGTCCCAGGCCAGGGTCCCGGCCCACCACATGGGAGGGGGGGGGGGGTGCGTCACAAAATTCTGGGTGGGGGGGAAGGGTTGGGCAGGAGACCGGATCCGGGTCTGCTTGTTCCAGACGCTTCTCGGCAGGAAGCCGAGGCGAATTAGTGCTTCAGTCGGGTTTGGGGCTGTAGATGTTTCGCAGCCAGAACCCAAACTGGTGTTTTCCCCAAAAAGTGTTGCGGTTCCTTGCAAGTCCTTGCGTGTGTGGTGGAAGCATGTGGAAGCTGTTGATGCTGTGCAGATCCTTTGCCCAGAGCCGCTGGCCTCGGGTGTTGCTCGGCTGAAGCCGCTGAGCATTGGGCTTCTGCTTGCGGTTTTTCCTTTTTCGGATGTCTACTCAGTTCTCAGAACATCATTGGGGGCTTTTCATGCGAAGAGAACTCAATTAATGAGTTTACAAAGAACGAAGTGTACGCGTGAAACTAATTATATTGTGCGAAAGAAGCCAGAGAGAAGACGCATGGACTGGCTGATAGAAAGCTCACGGGCCCCTTTAAGACAATACTACCCATCTCCAGTTCGTTGTCTCATTGAATGCGTGCGTCATTCATGGCTCACTTGCCCGGTAGCACCGAGTTTTCGGGGCCCCAGCCGTAAAGCAGCCCCCAAACCCATCCACACCCAAAAAAGGGGTCGGAATAATTACGAATAGTATTCCCTTATGGTCCCCTTATTCATATACACAATAGTAACCCCAAAACCCTGTTCTAATCATTAAGGCCCCCGTATGAGCCAAACCCAAAGCCCACGTCTCAGCCGAGCCAAGGTGCTTGGGCACCGAGGGAGCACCAAAGACCGCATCCAGGCGCATGCTTCGGGTTTAGGGTTTAGGGTTTAGGGTTTAGGGTTTGGGGTTTAGGGTTTAGGGTAAAGCTAGCCACGTCCATGTGTTGGAGGGGAGAGATCTTGCAGGTCCTGAGCCGGAACCCCGGCTCTGCGTCCCTGTAGATCTCTTAGCTGATCTTAAGACTATGAGAGGGCCCTTGCCTGCTGTATGGCCACCCACTTGAAACGCCGTGCTGGTAGGATGAGTGCCACTGCCGCCTCGTCATGAGCAACCGAGCCTGGCACCCAGCGAGTCTTCCGAGTCTTCGGGCGCCCAGCGTCACCATGATCACGTGCTGCATTTTCACACAACCTGGCGACAGTGGGAAACTGTGGTAAGCCATACATGAAAGGAATAGGCTGGCTGGAACGCATGGCCGTGTTATGTCTTGAAAGCTGAGGACGAGTTCTACCCTGGCACGCGCTTGCGGTTAGTGGTGATCCAAGCTGAGGAACAAGCTTCGTGACCCCGCCGCGCTTGCATTCTCATCATCTCACGGGTCGCCTGAAGCGTGATGCAAAGCCAACCTGGGTCCCCTAAGACTTTACTGACTCATCAAGCATCCGACACGGCCAAGCCCTCCAATCCCCAAGGTTGTGTAGAAGCGGCAGAGCGCAGTGGATCTCGCAAGCCACCGAGCCCCTCAACAAATTCGGAAGAACGGTCCCCTCAGCCCTAAATCCTAAAATGGCCATGCCATGGCTAACCTTTGTGACTTTCGGCCAGGATTCTCCAGGCCCTTGACAGGCGAGTGGTGGGGGGGGGGAGGGAGCGCTTTGGTGATTGTTCCAGTGGGAGTCCAAGAAGGTAGCGCCGCAGGAGCCAGGTGAGCAAGAGCTTTCTCGGCTTTCTGCGGCTTCAGTGGACCTGTGCAGCCGTAAAGCCTGAAACAAACCCTAAACCCTAAACCCTAAACCCTAAACCCTAAACCCTAAACCCTAAACCCTAAACCCTAAAAACCCAGCCAGCCCGGAAGGATTCTGGATCTGCTCGCGGAGTGCGCGGAGACTGAGCGCTTGGGCCTTGGCCGAGTGCTGGAAGGCTCCTCCTGATTTTCTCAACCGCAGAGTAGGGTTTGGGGTTTGGGGTTTGGGGTTTGGGGTTTAGGGTTTAGGGTTTAGGGTTTAGGAACAACAGGGGTTTGTCAGGGAACCTAACCCGGAAACGAAGGGGCACACGACCCTCCTCCCCCAACAGTCCCGAAAACTCGAGAATAACTCCCGTCCTCTGCAGAAGAGACGAAACCCCAAACCTCTTCAAAGCCACTAAGCAATCCTGGTAAAGAACACAAGACCGAAATCTGAACCCTAAGCCGTAACCCCGACAATTTGCGAGTCCAAAACCCTTGGCAGATTCCTACAGAACCTCACAGGCCTGACTATCTCTGATGTTTCACCTTCACCCTATAATCCCGAAACCGGAGCCCTAAGCCCCAAACTCCAATATCCCGAAGCACGAACAGTAAGCCCCCAAAATCCTTCCCCTCCTTCCCTGACCCCCTTCCGCTCAGAATTCCGAAGCCTTAAATTAAACCCAAAACCCTAACCCTAAACCCTAAACCCTAAACATCCCTAAGCCCTAAACCCTAAACCCCCCCTCACCCCCAGGTCAGAACCCGAATGGCCGCACAGCCATCCAGGGCGAGGCGGACTTCCTGGGCAAGGCGGGCGTTTGTCCCGTTATTATTATGATTACTACTATCATCATTACTATTAGTATTATTATTATCATTATTATTATCAAAATTATGATTATTACTACTATGATTATGATTATAATGATAATGATTATTATTATTATCATCATCATCATCATGATTATCATTATTATTATTATTATCATCATCATTATTATTATCATTATTATTATCATCATCATCATAATTATTATTATTATCATTAGTATTATGATTATTATGATTACTATGATTACTATGATTACTATGATCACTATGATTACTATGATTATTATGAGTATGATGATGATGATGATGATGAGGATGATGATGATTCTGATGATGATGATGATGATGATGATGATGATGATGATGATGATGTTATTATCATTATTAAATCACTCTCAGCTTGGGCGAGGTGCTGATCATCGAAACGGCTCCCAATGTTTCCAGTTTGTGTTGTCTGTTAGAAAGCCCTTATCTTTGGTCGTTTTATCACGATTCGCTGATGTTCGCTGTTCTTTCATTACTCTTCTTAGCTCTTTCATCGTTCGCCTTCTTCTGGTTATGACTTCGTTGTGCTGTTGTATGTGTTGTACTGCGCCATGTTGTTTTTGCTTTATGGCACGGAGGCCTTAGGCCTGAAACCCTAAACCCTAAACCCTAAACCCTAAACCCTAAACCCTAAACCCTAAACCCTAAACCCTAAACCCTAAACCCTAAACCCTAAACCCTAAACCCTTCAATTTCTGTCGCCTTTCGCCAGGAAGCAGGGGAGTTAGTGTTGCGCGCCGCCGTGCCGTTGGGGCCTTACGAAGCTGGCCCGAATGGTTGCCACCGCCCTGCGCCCTAAATCTTAACCCGAAGCATCATCCCTAACCCTAAACCCTAAACCCTAAACCCTAAACCCTAAACCCTAAACCCGAAACCCTGCAATCACCTTGGGTTGATTCGGATGGGGGGTTGGTCTTCAGGGTGCTGAGGTTCCGGGTCGGCTCCGCCATCATCGGCCCCAAAGGGGCCCACGTGCAAGCGCTGAAAGAGGCCGGTCTAGGGTTTAGGGTTTAAGGTTTAGGGTTTAGGGAGACAGCCCCAGACTTGGAGGTTCAAGTAACTAGGGGACATGAACCTGCAAGCAAGCCCTAAACCCGACACTCGAAACCCAGACCTTTGGGATGTAACTGGTTGACTCTGGTGTTGGCGCTGTTGGAGTTTCGACCTTCTCTTCCTGTGGCCAGAGGGTGCTGGCATAAAGTTCCAGCATGGGTTCAGGGTTTGGGGGATATCAGGTTTTATTGAGTACGGGTACGAGGGAGTAATCGGGGGGCTTCCCCAGAATAGGGGGCTGTTTTATTTTATATTTTTTTTTGGGGGGGGGGGAGTTTTCTAACATAAGGATTATCGTGTGTTGCGGGTTTATTGGGGGTGCCATTCTGTTGCATACACAAACCCTAAACCCTAAACCCTAAACTCTAAATCCTAAATCCTAAACCCTACACCCTAAACCCTACACCCTAAACTTTGTGACCATCCTTCTTCCGTGGGCCTGGCCTCAGGAAGCCGGCGCCAAGATCATCATCGACAAGGAACACCAGCGCCTTGGCGTGGTGTTTAGGGTTTAGGGTTTAGGGTTTAGGATTTAGGGAAACATGTTTAGGGACGAGGGTTCCGGGGCTCGGGATGAGGGTTCAGCAGAGCTCCCTGGATCCGAGTAGCTTTGAGACGTCCTATTTGGGTTTCCCAAAACAGGGCTAGCACCAAGATACCCTCCAAAGACTAGAATCCTGCTTGTAGGCACCGCCAAGTTTTTTGGCCCTTGTACTTCCCTTTCAGCTGCAGCTGCTCCAACATGTGTTTGAAAAATACGGAAGGGGGGGGGGGGGGTCGAAGCTTTGATTCCAGGCTGATGCTCAACCCGGGTCCCTGCCCACATCCGCCACACTCTTGTCCCGTAAACCCTAAACCCTAAACCCTAAACCCTAAACCCTAAACCCTAAACCCTAAACCCTAAACCCTAAACCCTAAACCCTAAACAGGCTTGACAGGCTTCGAGAGGCCCCAATCCGGCAAATTCAGCCCAGCATGCTTGAACTCCACCCCACGCCGACAATCCTCCTTAGACCCCAAACCCTAAATAAACCCTAAACCCTAAACCCCTACAAGCCTCTAAAAACCCCAAACAGGCAAGGCCACCAGGCCTGTCGCTTGGCCGCGCGCCCTGAGGGCCTGAGGAGCTTCGGGGGGGTAGTCTGGGGGTTCAGGGTTTGGGGTTTAGGGTTTAGGGTCTAGGGTTTAGGGTTCGGGGTTCAGGGTTTCTTGGGTTTGTTGGGTTTATAGGGATTAGGGGTAAGAGGGCGTTGAGGGTTTAGGGCTTAGGCTTTCAGGCATTGAGGGCTTTTAGTTTGTTGGTTAAGAGGGGCAATTCAGGGGGTTGTCAAGGAAGGCTATCTAAGGGGGGTTTGTAGGGTGTTAGGTGTGGGTTTTGGGGACGTAGGGCGTTTAGAGCGTCTATTCGGGTATCCGTTGAGAAGTCGCCTTGAACTGGAAGCAATGAGCCCTGATGAACAAACAAGCGATGCTTTTCCCGCAGGATAGTCCTGTCTCGCATTAGCGACTACTTGGCTGACGACTCTGCTCAGAGGCCTTTTTTGGTGCTTTACTGTAACTTTAGATCCTTAGCCTTCTTGGGCTTATTGGGTTTCTTAATAAGGCAGCTAAACGTTTAATTCATAGCTACGCTCCTAAGTGCAGCCAAGAGGCGAGCATATTTCGGGGGGTGGGGTGCAAAGAAGCCAGCAGAACCAGATGGCCGAGCGAGTCAATGTCGTGCTCCTATACAAATTGTTCCCTGTTTCCTTGCTTGTCATATAACTGCAAGCCCTTTAGCTTTCTACTGCAGCTCCTCCTACCCCCACAAAAGCTCCCGCAGACTTGGGGGTTTCCGAAATTGGGGGCACCTTATTTCGGGTCCTTATTCAAAGAGAATCCGACTTTTTAGGGGTCGAATTTAGGGCTCTTTTCCTAAACTCCCTTGTGAGTACGTCGAACAACACGCTGAGATGCTTCTCAGCCCTTCGGCGCCCTGCCCGCAATCCTTGGCAGGCGCCGCCCCGCGTGACACAAAACAATGTCGAAGAGGCCGAAAACCGAGAACCGAAAAGCCGAGAACCGAGAACCGAAAGGCGAGAAACCGAGAACTGGAACCGCAAACCGAAATTCGAGAACCGAAAAGCGAAACAAAAAAAACCGAGTGCCGAAACATCGTATTTGTTCTTCCTTCCTTCCTCCTCCTCCTCCTCTCAGTTCCCGTATCCAGATGGGTTGATGGCTCATCCGTGGAAGCGATCCTTCGGAAATGTGGCGCGTGAGGAATCAAGTTGGAGACAGGGAAACCGCCATAGCACGTGCCAGGTGATGCACGCAGTGTTACACGAGACCGCTAGAAGCAAAGGCTCAGAAACGCCTTGGCTTCAAGCAAATCTTTGCCGTGTGTCAGGGGGGTCGGGGGAAAAGGGGCCCGTAGTCCCTAAACCCTGAACCCTAAACCCTAAACCCAAAACCCTGAACCCTAAACCCTAAACCCCAAACCCCAAACCCTAAGCCCCAAAATTCCAAACCCGAAGCCTTGCTTCATCTGCAGGCCGAACGACTTTGAGTCCTGGGCGCGGCTGACTCAGACGTGCAAAGGTACCCGACACCCTAAACAAGGGGGGATTGAGAATACATTTTAGGCTTCGATGGGTCTAACCCTCAGCCCAGACCCGATAAACCTTGTATTCCAGGACAGAAAGGTCGGTTGCTTGCAGCCTGCAGCCTACGTGGAGGTCCCCTAAGTAGGTTAGAAGTACAGTTATCATAAACCCTAAACCCTAAACCCTAAAAGTACCCATGCACCTCCAAGAAGGCCGAAGTAGGGGGGGGGGGGAACTCACATTCCGCATGTTCAGGTCCATCAGGAACTTCGGCCAGCAGGAGGAGCTTGCAGTCTGATCTCTGATGCTGACATGGGGGTTTCCGAAATTCGGGGTGCCTTATTGGGGTTCCTTATGCGAGGAGAATCCTACGTATTTGGGGACTCTAGTAGGAGTCCCAAATTGTCCGTAAACCCCCACATATCAGTGAGAGTCCAGAGTCTGGAGTGCAGGACGCCGGACATGGCGGTTACGGCCAAAGCCATAGCCGTGACGGCCACGGAAGGGATAGCCATACCAGGAACAATGGCCGGGAAGGCTACGGCAAGGAAGGCTACGGCCGAGACTATGGCCGAGACGGCCGGGATGGCCAGGG